CTCTGCTCCTTCATAAAAGGTATGGTACTCTGCTCCTTCATCAAATAAAGGTACAGTACTCTGCTCCTTCATCAAATAAAGGTACAGTACTCTGCTCCTTCATCAAATAAAGGTACAGTACTCTGCTCCTTCATCAAATAAAGGTACAGTACTCTGCTCCTTCATCAAATAAAGGTACAGTACTCTGCTCTTTCATCAAATAAAGGTACAGTACTCTGCTCCTTCATCAAATAAAGGTACAGTACTCTGCTCCTTCATCAAATAAAGGTACAGTACTCTGATCCTTCATCAAATAAAGGTACAGTACTCTGCTCCTTCATCAAATAAAGGTACAGTACTCTGCTCCTTCATCAAATAAAGGTATGGTACTCTGCTCCTTCATCAAATAAAGGTACAGTACTCTGCTCCTTCATCAAATAAAGGTACAGTACTCTGCTCCTTCATCAAATAAAGGTATGGTACTCTGCTCCTTCATCAAATAAAGGTACAGTACTCTGCTCCTTCATCAAATAAAGGTACAGTACTCTGCTCCTTCATCAAATAAAGGTACAGTACTCTGCTCCTTCATCAAATAAAGGTACAGTACTCTGCTCCTTCATCAAATAAAGGTACAGTACTCTGCTCCTTCATAAAAGGTATGGTACTCTGCTCCTTCATCAAATAGAGGTACAGTACTCTGCTCCTTCATCAAATAAAGGTACAGTACTCTGCTCCTTCATCAAATAAAGGTACAGTACTCTGCTCCTTCATCAAATAAAGGTACAGTACTCTGCTCCTTCATCAAAGGTATGGTACTCTGCTCCTTCATCAAATAAAGGTACAGTACTCTGCTCCTTCATCAAATAAAGGTACAGTACTCTGCTCCTTCATCAAATAAAGGTACAGTACTCTGCTTCTTCATCAAATAAAGGTACAGTACTCTGATCCTTCATCAAATAAAGGTACAGTACTCTGCTGCTTCATCAAATAAAGGTACAGTACTCTGCTCCTTCATCAAATAAAGGTACAGTACTCTGCTCTTTCATCAAATAAAGGTACAGTACTCTGCTCCTTCATAAAAGGTATGGTACTCTGCTGCTTCATCAAATAAAGGTACAGTACTCTGCTCCTTCATCAAATAAAGGTATGGTAGTCTGCTCCTTCATCAAAGGTGTGGTACTTTGCTCCTTCATCAAATAAAGGTACAGTTCTCTGCTCCTTCATCAAATAAAGGTACAGTACTCTGCTGCTTCATCAAATAAAGGTACAGTATTCTGCTCCTTCATCAAATAAAGGTATGGTACTCTGCTCCTTCATCAAATAAAGGTACAGTTCTCTGCTCCTTCATCAAATAAAGGTACAGTACTCTGCTGCTTCATCAAATAAAGGTACAGTACTCTGCTCCTTCATCAAATAAAGGTATGGTACTCTGCTCCTTCATCAAAGGTGTGGTACTTTGCTCCTGCGAGCTGCGGATGAACAGTGGATATACATGGTCCTTTATCAAAGATATGGTAAGTTCTCTGTGGTACAGTGTACACGCGATGTGGTTCTCATTGTAATTTGTATGGTGGTAGCTCCAGACAGAATAATATATGACCTAATTGTGTTTTTACTCGAATTAACCTCAAACGGCCTGCTTTTAACAAACAAAAAAGTGCATAAAAAAGCATTCCCTTTCACAACACACTAGGCACACGATGGCCAGCAAACCAAACCACTGCTGCAACCTACACTACAACTTACAAAACTCCTTGTTTGAGCAAATCGGCCTAGACGTGACAACTTAATCACGTAATTGCTGCTTTGAGGAGTGGCAGAAAGTAGGAGACTGAATGGGAAACTTGGGAAACTTGGGAAACTTGGGAAACTCCCTAGCTCTTGTACGAGAGCGTACAAATTCTGATTGTTCTATGTAACTGCTCGGGGAATAAACATATTATCCCTAGACATTTTACAGTTTTAAATGAATATTTAGGGTCTGGGATAGAAAGAAACGGTGAGCTTTTCGCTAAAGGTTAGTTTTAGAGTAATAAGTACGATTGCTAAAAAATTGGATGTTTTCTCAAATGATTTTTCATAGCTCGTCATTGACTGGGCCAGCTGGGGCCTTAGGCGTACAATTGCGATATCCGGCCTGGTGTCGAAGAATGAAATTTTGTGAGGTTATAAAAGTAAAAGTATGCGCGCACGGAACTACTCAATGTAAAGTTTCAATATTATAAAATAATATATTAACTCAGTAAGATTGCATTATTTTATGAGCTGTATTACATCAACATTCAACACAGTTGAGTACGGGATAAGTTGTTATGCAATATACATGGATACTCAATTCCTTCGCAAATGAAGCGAGTGATGACAAATTTCTGACAAACTCTGACAAATTGAATACTCAATAATTTATCATATATATTGAGGCTCTTATTCTCTAACTAAAAACTGTCGAGTTTAGTGGGGTCTCGCCAGTCGACAGTGTCACTGCCAATTGAAAGTTATCAAGATACGATGTTCTCTTACCTGATTGCATCAATAAGTGACTGTAGATCGGAATAACATTGAAAACATTCTCTAAAACAGGAAGATTGCCAGTTTAACCTTAGTGAGGCTGGAGTCGGTACTGCATAACACATTGTTGAAATTTCATAAAAGTAAAAAAGTAAGGTGTAGCTTTAGGCGGCTAAACCAACTAGGTTCTCCGCCAGTTTTGCTAAGCTATGAATTCCAAGAAATGGTCGAAACCTTTAAACGATCAAACGATCAAATTAAGCAGAAAAAGCTTCTGTTAACGATTCCCAGAAATCACTACTGTAGTCTTATGTAGATGTAGTGTGACTACAGCTACATAAGTTGGGAATTAGCTCTTCACCGCCAGAACAATTGTGCAATTTGCTCCAGGAAAGAACCGTAGAATGAAGACAATCCAGTCAATTGCAATAAAAAGTTAATGCATATATCAGCCAAGTTTCTACGCACAGCACGCTACGTCAATAAAGCCACTCCCTTCTGAAAAAGGAATGGTTTCTGGTTCAGTTATAACACCTGTCTCACGCAAATAATAGGAAGGTGAGAATGTCAGAACACGGCTCCTAGTTTTCTGAGCTCACTGTATTGAACCTGGACATATTTTAATTTTTGAGATATTTCACTTTTTGAGATGTCTTACTTTTTGAGATATTTAATTTTTGAGATATTTCACTTTTTGAGATATTTCACCTTTTGAGATATTTTACTTTTTGAGATATTTTGCTTTTTGAGATATCTTGCTTTTTGAAATATTTCTTTTGTGAGATATTTTACTTTTTTTCTTTAAAAAAAAACATTTATCCTGTATTTTAGCATAAGCTACAATATAAATTACTGCTCTGCTCACTTTCCAATTTCTGAGGAAGTTAGATTATACATTACAGTACATTTACAGAGCGCCAGATGGCCACACTAGCTATTAATACAGTAAACTCAAAAAGCTGTGCTTTGTTAAATATTTTTAAATATTTCGATATAAATGGCTAACTTTACTATCAGCTATCTGGCTGGAGAGTGAGGTGGAAAGAAAGGTGGAGCCGGGGGTTCTCGGCCGCATGTCGGTTACAAGTATTATATTAAATCACATTTCTGCTGTGTTCTTGACTGATGCCACCGATACCTCTTACGTCTTACGTCTTACTAGGCATGAATGTTGTCGCTTAGTATAACCTTTCATTACTTACAGCGGCTCGTTGTCGACCGACTATTAAAGAACTAGTCCGAAGTTTTAAGCAATAAGTTTGAAAATGTTGTTAACAAGCTCATTTAGTCCTGGTAACAGGCTGGAAACTTTTTTGTAAGATAAGAAAACATTTACCCCCAAAATCCAGGATAAAAGTGCAATAAACCATACCCAGATAAGATAAGATCAATACGAATAAGAATAAATACAAATGTCAGACCCTTGAAGAGGAGAAAGTAAATTACACCACATAACGTGCTCCTGGAGAATTAAGCCACATTATCTACCTGGCACGCCAATCTCTACTTCTCTATACGGCGCTATTTTCAAGATTCTTGTATCTGAGAGAAGCGAGCAAGAGACTATCAAGCTAGGTAACCATATAATGTGCTCCCGGAGCAACCCCACATTAGCACATTGGAGCAAAAGGCCATGTTGATTGTTGATGGGGGGCAAAAGCGATTCCCAATAAGGGCAAATAAGGGCTAATAGTGAATATTATACGACTTTCTTTTTAATAACAGAGTCAAAATCATGCTGATGTTGATAAATATGAAAAGTGGCGAACAGAGAGAAATGTCTAATAGCACGAAGGGGAGTAAACCTTTGAACTGATCAAGTGATCAGATAATACAAAATAGATCAAGCTGTCGAGCTTGCAATGTAACTGCGACCACTCGGAACAAGTTCAGTTGAAGTTGAACTCGGATTGAAGGCTAAAGCATTAGCACACTATTAAATATCAAAGAAATATATTACAGAATTACCGTTAAAGCTGATGTGATGTTGAGCAATATAATTATTACAGACGCGTGACGCAGCATGATCGAGCTCAAAATGAGACATCGTTTCTCAGAAAGATAATTTTGAAAAGCTGGAGTAGTTCAAAAGGAAAATCAAAGACTGGCCGAACTGTATAACTGTAAGTGAATAATAATAATAGCTTTAAAGAGAATGCTGATAAGTTAATAAGAAGTGAATAAGAAGATAAGTGGATAAGAAGTGAATATAAGTGAATAAGAAATGAATAAGAAGTGAAAACTGCTCGATCAATCAAATTGTTCCCATCATCACCCGGGTGAGGAGGGAAGGGTTGGGGGCCGGGCCGGGGGAGGAGGGAGGGTTGGGGCCGGGGGAGGAGGGAGGGTTGGGGCCGGGGGAGGAGGGAGGGTTGGGGGCCGGGATAGGAGGGGAGGGTTGGGGGGAGGGTTGGGGTCCGGGGGAGGAGGGAGGGTTGGGGGCCAGGGAGGAGGGGGGATTGTGGGCCGGGGAGGAAGGGAGGGTTGGGGGCCGGGGGAAGGGGTTGACAAACCTTAAAGGCAGAGAATTTGTCCTTGTGAGCAGAAGCCAGCTTGGTGTTGTATAGTCTTCTGCAGTACATACCACCTGTGTATTAATTGTGTTGACATTGTGTTAACATTGTGTTAACATTGTGTTAACATTGTGTTAACATTGTGTTGACATCGTGTTAACATTGTGTTAACATTGTGTTAACATTGTGTTAACATTGTGTTAACATTGTGTTAACATTGTGTTAACACTGTGTTAAAATTGTGTTAAAATTGTGTCAACATTGTGTCAACATTGTTTCAACATTGTGTTAACATTGTGTTCACATTTCCAAAGATATACAGAAGTCTCATAAAACAACCCACCAGCAAACTCCCCAACACGGTTCTCCCAGCATCCTCTTGAGCGGGTTTGATACTCCACTCAGCGTTGTACCGTCCCCTCCCTCTCCAGGGGTAGGGCTGTCTCTCCTGGTACCACTGCAGCACAGACAGAGATCATTAGTGGATATTGAATGTTTATTCAGTAATGGCCGCGATATGTTGCGGCCATTTCCTTTCCCCAAATGGAGCATAGCAAACTTAATTTACACAAACAATCCGCCGATTTACCTCAAATCCCGATTTGCTGGCTACCGCGGAGCTGTTTCCCCAAACTCCGCGGAAAATCGGGGTTATAGTTTTACTGTATCAGGTGTTCAGGTGCATTGTAATATAATTTAGACTTGTTTCGCTCACCCATTATTAGTATTATACTTGCATGTGTAAAAGACGTTCTGCGTTCCTTGCTTATAATTTACAAATACATGAATGATGAAAAAAGTAAAAACATGTTTTCCATTTTGATATTACTCGGCTCCCGAATTAATTATAATATATACATTATTCGTCAAACATTCATAATAAATCATTTATTCAAACATATTTTACATTGTTATTAATTGTAATAAATTCAAAGTCCTCTTTTCAAATTCTGTGGAATTTTTTATATCATTTAATCTAATATTAGTGCGATTTAGGGTCATTATTGAATTAATTCTGTTTTTTCTCTTAGGTCTAATATCCAAAATCTGACGACGAGATCATGATCCTATAGGACATTTTCCACCACAGTCAGGCGTAACATTTGCTCCAGGCTCCATTTCACTAGCCAGAAACTTGAAGCTATTCTCGCAGCCCATCCCATTGAACGCGAACCTCTTGGCTTTACCGTATCTTTCAACACATTTCCCCACAAGTGCCCTCTCGTACATCACCTCCTCCTTCATATATATCCGCGCCATCCCATTCTCCAGGTGAAAAGTCCAGTGAGCATCAACAACTCCATGTGTCATATTTCTCATCTTAGCAAGTGGGGTTGGACAGCTGATACAACCAGACAAGTTGATATTTTTCAGGCTCCACTGGAAGGTCCCTAAAACGTTGCCGGGTTCATCGTAGAGTATAATGGAATGAAGCTTCTTCCGGGTAGCCTTATTGTGATGGACTGTAACGGAGATACCATGTGTAGAGGTGGAGAGGTCTTGTTTAACGGTGCACTCCAAGTTGGAGCAGTAGCCACACTCGGGGGTCCAGCAGCTGCAGGTAGGATAAACTTGTGGCTGGCTGGGATCAATCAGCTGAGCTGGGTCGTCCAGCTGAATTTCCTCCGTTGCAGATTCATCCTCTGGTTCAGGTTCTGGATCTGGGAATTTTACAGTACCATCCTTGGGTATCGCACGGATGTAGTAACCCTCCATGTTCCTGAACGCTATCCTGTCCACCTCCGCATCTCCAAGTGCACGGCACTTTTTAGGTAGTCCTGTTTTCCAAGAACTCACTTCACCCTCGTCAAAATGTTGCAAGTATTGTAGTTCTCCATCACATGTCAGTTCAACATTTTCCTGGTTAAAGTTCCAGCTCCAAATCTGCTCCTTCTCTCCACCAGCCGGGAAACTTCGGTAGGGTTGAGGAATCACATCACACTCTTCAATCTTAACGTCGTATCCTTTGTCGTATTTTATTGTGTGCCAGAGCAAACGACCGACTCTATTCTCCCAGCTACCAGCGTATAGCAAGATCATCATGCTTGTTGGTTTGTCAGTCCTGAAGAGTGACTTTGAGGAAGGGTTGGTGTCGTAGACATCAGGACGGAATGCTTTCACCTCCAAGTTGTACTGGCTAAGAGGAAACCTTACTCTTTCTCCGTTCAACTTGAGAAGCTTCCATTTGGCGAGAGAAGGGTCAATTGTAGCTGACAGGACTGAGCCAAGCAAAGCCAGGCCCACTACAGCCAACATCTTCCTGGATACAGAAAATTAGATTGTAAAAAATAACCAAATTGTCGGCAATCCACATAATAATGAAGAAAAATGAATGGTAAAGCAAAGTTGGGCAATGCAAAATCTGTACGTGCGTTTAATAAAAAACAATGCCCAATGTGCATAATTGTTTTTCTGCCCAATGTGCATTGTTTTTCTCAAACTTAAGTTTGCAACACTTCGCCTACGCAGAAAAACTTGCAAGAAATCAGTGAGAGCAGAAAGATGAGGTCAGCTCTCGAATTTATTTGCCAACAAGACTACAACCACCCTCAAATTAGATTTCACGAATACTGCAATGCCAGCGCAACAAACCTTTGCTACAAAATAGTGCGATTCAGTTTTCAATCAACTTGTAATGTTCCATAAATGTAACCAACATTTTTCAACGTTGCTCAATTAGCGATTCAATAAGGTAAGCAATCAGAAGGACACTCCATATCATGTTTATAGCCCACTCACAAGTAACATCGTCGCAAATATGGCCACCTTTCCGGTTGGGAGAGGAGTGGAGACAAAAATCAGATTTCAAAAGAGGTGATATATAGAGTTTGACTTGAGTGTTACGCGCGGTCGTTGTGTCTTCAAAATATCAATATAGGCTTTAGCAAGGAATCAAGTTACTGGGCCGCGCTCAGCCTGTCATTCCGCCTAATCTCTATTCTATGTTTATGAACATGATACTGATAGCCTGAGGTCCTCAGGTAAGAATCAAGCAACATCCAGGGCATATTTCTACCGAAGCAGATCTAGATATGATGCAACCTAAGTATCGCCGAAGAGACAAAGCAACATTTACGGAGCAGATCGTTTCTGTTCCGCTCCACAAGATTTTCAGGTTCAAGTCAAAAAGTCTACGAATAAATTTAATTGATTTTTACAAAAATATATTGCAAAACGTGTTATACGGGAAAATTAACTGTTACCGACTGGCAGAAAATTGACTGCTGAGAATTAGTAATCTTTATGGTCTGTTTTGCAAAACTTTAATTCAATTTTTTCTGCATTTATGCAACGACTTTAGACTAGAGTATCAATTATATAATTAATTATTTCTGGAAGTCAGGGACAAAATGATCAAACCATAATTTGTTAGAATAAGACAATAGAAGTGGAAAGGTGTGAAAGAATTTAATTTATCCGGCCGGTGCATGGCAGGAAATCAGACTGATTTTTAATGTAAGAAAGCCTTTTGTTAACTCGTTAATAAACATTTATTAAAAAAACTTTTAATAGCAATGACTGTTATCATAACTTCATAAAGATCAGATAACGAATGCCGTGCCTGCAAAGGGCATGTCCTAATTATTATAGCACTGACTAACGACTATAACAGTATTATATTTAATTTGAATTTTTATGTATCATCTCCAAATCGGCTCAATCGATTGTCCCTTTCAACACTATTAACCCGTAAGAAAAGGTCCTAGACTCTCCGTTATGTCCGTATCCCGAATTAGGATTCATTAGGCTTTGCAACATATTCAGGCATGAACACATAATTCTACGTCAAACTTGGAACAGTCTCACTCAAATTTAAGACTGCAAACTTGAACAGTTCGCAAGTCCGTTGTAATCTTATCCCCGAGTGAACTTACTCGCCACATATATCACGTATATCATCTTAACTAAAAATCTTACTAGACTATGAGTATGAACAAACATTTTGGTAAACAAAATTTAGTTCAATATTTAAACTTTTTGTCTTCATCACCCGCTGATTTGGTCGCTGAGTTTGCCTACCTGTCTCCTTCATACAGGGACCCCTGAGGAATATTTTAACCGTCTATACCGGCCGTTGGCATCATGACAATTATTTAACAATTTTTTAAAATAATCGTTTATTTTCTGATATAATTGTTTTCCTTTCATATTGCCGAGAAGGTGTATTTGCAAAAGGCAAAATAACCCGCCCTGGAAGGAGTCGGTTATTAATATAAATCTAGAGATTACTTTATGGTGGTATGGTGGCGAAGATTATTTACATAATGAGTACCTTGTAATACTGTAAATGTAATATTTATAAGCACACTGGAGACTGGTGCAAACATTGAGTTGTACGGGTGTGAGGTGCATGCAATGACCGGCAACGATATTAATGCAACTTAGCACCTGTCTAACTTAGTGTATAGGTGCTACTCTCCCCTTCCGGCTTTAGTTCTATCTCCAGTCGTCTCACGTACCAGGCCTTTTCATAGTTAACTGATCCAGGCGGACCACATTTCAACAAAAATGAAACTAGGATCGGTTTTTTAATATGTGCATGGAGAACTTGCGTTTGATTCGTTTTGATTCATACAGGTTTATAAATTGACAAAAATACGCGCGATTATATTTCTAGTCGTAATTAGATATTTCATGGACCAACGCTATGATCATACCCTCGCAGCTACACCGGCTGAAGAATCATTAAGTATTTAGAATTGAAATCTCTATATACCTCACATCCTAAAATTCTATTCCCCTCTTTAGCTTTTCTGTTCTTGACCTCGGTGTCACCATCTTCCAAGTCAGATACCAATACATCACTGCTTTTCCCGTACTCCTCCCATACGCTGAGGTATACGACTTTGTTATCGAAAATCATAATAGGGCATAATGTTTCCGAAAATATGTAGTATGCTCAAAGGGTAAAATTTGTCAATTATTCTTTGTTTGAAGACTCGATAAAAACGGAAAATCTATTTATATTAAACTTAAAGATAGGATGATGATTAATCACTCTACACTCGACTTTCACGTGACTTTTTTAATCCGCTCTCTAGGTGGCCCTGGATGACTATTAGAAACCCTAACCTTCTAATTTTATGATGCCAACCCTAACCCTACCCCAATCCGTAACAAAAGCACATGATGAAACCCTAACCCTAATGTGAAATTAGGCCAACTCCCTTATATGGTCATATCACGTGATCGAGACAGTTTTTTACCAATATCTCGCCAGGGGAGCATTTTAACCCTATGACATGGGGGTGATTCGGAATCAGTGTCCGAAAATACATCGATTCAGGTTGGTTTTCAACTGTCAGGGGACCTTTTAGAAAAATCTCGAAGATCGACTGTAGAGTGCAGATTTAGCACAGTCGTTAAAGATAAGGACCTGTCATTGAAGACATTGATCTTGTGTCCAGGAGTAGCAGGACTGGAGGTCCTCACCCCCATATCCTGGAGATCTGATCGGATCTTACCCAACGACCCCTCTTTCCTCTTGACCTTAGTCGTCTGCTTTAACTTCTCCAGCGCCTTTTCAGTGCTCTTCTGTGAAATACACTGAGTGATAGTAAGTGAAGTACTTTTAATGTTTTGTGTGCTTTGCCGCATTAAAAAGTATCAGGATAAAATTGAAAGCGTAATCATGGAGACTATTATAAAGATTGAAACTATAAACCCTGTTCAGGATCGGTTCGGTTCTAGCTGCACAACTGAACCAAACCTAGTTGAATATCAGCAGCGTAACACTGCCAGCTTTACCTGTTGAATCAGGTCCAACAAAATTACCAATCAACAAACCTTGTCCTGGAGCCCAGTCTCCCCCTCCAGAGTCCGTCTCCTCCAAGCTACAGCACCAAGAGAGGAGGAGCTGGTAGTGGAGACAGGAGTCCACAGGTTGACAGTTGCAGCTGTTATCTCAGGGCTCTGATTTTCTCTTTTTTGGGAGTCCGCTGATCTCTGGGGGTGACGTTTCGGCTGTACTCGTTTACCGTGCTTACGTACATCATCTTTAGATTTGCTGGGGGAATTGGGAAATGGAATGGCTTGGTGGTAAGAATGAGCTTCGCCGCTTCGGGGTATTAGGACGAAACTATCAGCTACTTTTTCAAGTATGCGACTTCAAACAATCTGCTAGCTGTTTTCCTTAATAAAATCTGTTGTTTTACTAACAACTACTCCAACTAACCTTTTCTTTATGTGATAAGATCCTCGCACCTTTTGAGTGCGTGGTTTTTGGTTAATCCTCAGATCTAAACCAGTTCGATCAGCCTCGTTCCTATGGTGATGTAACTATGGTGATGTAACTATGGTGATGGGCCATGACAGATTATGTCAAATTATTACATTTAACTGTTAGCAGCAATAGTCGGTGCTTTTAAATATACATGTTTGCATTGGAGGGCGACAAAGTCATCAAGGCAAAATAATCATGAAAAGCAAGATTTTCATAGAAAACCAACTGCTTGCATGACAAGATAGTTGCTGCAAAACTAAGTTACACCTACTTGGCCATCTGACTTGCAAACAGGGACAGTGGACTCCTCTTTAAGGGACCGACAAGACCTAACCTCCAGTCATTCCGCTTTCAGATCACGTGTCAAGAAACAGATACAAACACAACGTAATCACAGCACATATGTGTAACTGCATGTGTAAGCTCGCAACGGAATACATCCACAGCTTCCGGTGAAAACTAATCTCTACCCAGAGTATCTGAACTCTGATAGATCTGTAAAAGGGAACACTGCGAGCACCACTTGTGAGCAGTGAAGATCTGGGAGCTGTTTTATATGGATCTTTTACATTTTTAAGTACGGTCATGTGGCAATGTTTAGAGACTCTCAGATCATACTCTCGGTTAAAACCAGTGTAGGTAACTTATTATGTCAACTCTCTTAGAACTTCCATTCCACAGTTTAGTGTTAACATGAGATTACGGCGAGAAAAAAATCACCTTTGTAATTTACTATCCCACAATCACGGTACCTATTCATTATTCTTGGTGTGACCTACACAATGTACATTGTATAATGTACATTTAATGTACAGTACAACAGTACATTATGGTCAGGAGACTTTTCTCCACAAATCCATCTAAAAGCTCACTTTTAAAGCACTCTAGTGCAATCATACCTGGTATTTTGTTGAATCTCCACATTGACTTCGTAACATATTAGCCGAAATAAACATTTTCTTGTCGATATATAACCCTGCTAACTACCTTTCCAACTTTCTGTTCAGGTAGTGTTAACTGTTAAGTAGTGTTCAAAGTGCTACTTAACAGTTAGATATCATGTTTTAGTAAAGACCTACTACCTTGTGCTAAATAACCACTAATAAAAGCGTGATAAGTTGGAGCAAGCAGTTTGTAACTACTTTAAAACTTAAAGCTTAAAACTAAATAGTGTATTTTAACAGAGAAGCACGGGACGGTTAATGTTATCACCATATTCTAGCTCACTACTACTCACTACTACTGCTACTCATTACTATCACCACTTTACAAGTTACCATCATATTCTAGCTCAACTACACACCATGAAACTGTTCCTGGTATTATCCCTTGTACTGTGTGTGGTGGCTGCTGCTGAAGAAATGGATCTGGAATCTATTGAGATCCTCTCACTCGAAGAGAATGAGACTCCGATAAGTAAGGGAGGGATTTTTTTGAGGTCTTTACTGTTCTAGAATATAATGAAATATGGTTATGTTATAATTGAGTAGTTGGGCCAATAATGCGTTCCCTGAAGACTTGACAGTTTGACAGTTGACATCTTCAACCGAAACCGCTTCTACCTGACCAAAGTTGTATAGAGAAACGTGTCCTCATTGACAACTTCAACTGATCACGTGTGGCTATATCTTGTCGCTATATATCGTGGTCATATCTCGTGGTTTTATATAGAAGCTCAGTTGTATAACGGTTGGGAACTTTTCAGTGGACCTTGAAGCGGACACTCCTCTTATCGACGAGACTGACGAGATTGTTTGTGAGTAAACACGCTGATTCATTCCTTTTAAATACCATGCTCTATTTTCAAAACAACATGCTGAGAAGTGCTACTTGCTGCACTGGATGAGTTCTGTTCTAATTTCTCGGTTTAAGTTTAACTGTTTTGGCTTCGGCTGTTTAGAGGCAGAGAGAGATTGGTAATCTTAAGCCAGTTTGTGGAGAAATACTACCCGGTGCTCCTGCAACATATTATACTATTATACTTACTAAATAATGTTTCATTTTCCTGCAACATATTATACTATTATACTAACTAAATAACTTTCCATTTATTACTTTACTAAACGGGGCATTAGTAATAAAATCTGACTACAGTATACAGATACCTGCTTAAAGAAAATAGGGTTGGGCAATGCTTAGAGTTACCAAGGCGATTTGAATAACAATTATTGGCATGATTTCACCAGAAGCATAGCTGTAAATAAAATTGGCAGATGATATTGAATATTGGTATTCTATAAATAATATAATCACAATAAATGATAAAACAATGTGACAGCAATTTCTTCAAGATTTAAACCAGACATTTAAAATTACAGCGATTGATGCAAACGTAGTGGCTCACATGACGTCTAAAGACACAGAGGAACTAAAACCTGAGAGTATCATTGACCTTTACGATAACACGGAGAGTGTGGAGCCTAGCACCATTTAGTTGGCATCATGCCAACTCAACCATGGTTTTACATTTTCCGAGATATGCCATTGTTATTGAATTTTTTCCCGAGACATGTACAACTTTTGAATTTTACTTTTGTGATTTATCAGTAATCAAATCAAATTCAGAAGTAAAAGATGAAAATTGAGTTTCTATTATCGCATTTGATTAACTAAAGGGATTGAATACTTTCATAAAATACTTTAAAACACGATTCAAATTCTTTCAATGTCCACTTGAAGAGCAATTAATATCTCATATCAAGATGAATTCTGAAGCCCGAAAAGATGTATTGTTAAATAGTTACGGCAACTAAGCAACGGAGAAAATTGCCATTCTGAGTTGTCGGAGAGTTATGCAGTGCCGAACTGTGTCGTGTAGGAAGTGTTGGAGGAAACAGTCAGGGATTGGGGGCTGTGTTGCACTGTCGGCACTATTCCAATAGCGCTCTGAAAGGTTACCAGGTCACGGTAGTTAACAATAGTTTCAGTTAAAATTCAAACCATTGAAGCATTAAGTTATTGAAGCATTAAATTTGTACAGAATGCTTTGTAGAATTATTAACCATTAACATCAGCATGCGGCCAACATCTGCTGTCTCCATAAAATATATTAACATGTCACATTTAACAGTGCTCAAGTAGAAGATTCAAAGTTTGCACAATTAAATTTGACACAAACACATATGAATATTAATGACCGAACAAGCATGACGCGAGAAAGAAAGTTGGCGTGCGACTTGAAGTTACTAAAGTATGTGTTGCTACGTAACCACTTGGCTATGTTACCAGGTAATGTATGACATACCTTATGTTTTTTACCGTTGCACCCATAACGAGTTGTATTGCCCTGGAGATTTTCATCCACTTTAGGTTCGTTGTACGAGTGTCTCATGCTGGTGTCCTTGTAGTAGTTTTTTTTAGAGTCCGTCCTCAAAGCAGCCATTCTCTCTTCGATATCCCCAGCCTCCTCGGGTTGCGTTCCCAGATAGTCTTGCTGAAAGTGACTTAATTATCTTATCTTATCTATTAATTAGAACGATTTACCAGGGGGAAAATAGTAATCTATTATAAGATGTAAATGTAACTGTTACAGTGTTACGATCATCAATCACGGAACCCTTTCAGAAGTTACAAGTTGTATAATGCCGTACCTGGTATGAAGAGGCAAGTTGTTTCTTGAAAACCTCCTTTAATTTGTCTTCATCCAGAACAATCTGCTCCTCCCTGGCGCCTCCTCGAGGAATCTTCCACTCCAAAAACTCTCTGCTGGGATGCGGATTGTTCCTTCTGAAGCCGCTGTTCGTCGCTGAAGCGATGACATCTTGAAGTCTTGCCAAATCGTGTTATTTCGCAGTTTATTCGACATTTTAGAGAGTAATTATTAACGAGTTAGCGCGTGAAAGTTTCTTGGTCGATCATTACAACTGATGATCAAAACGGCGAGGTTTACATTCTTACAGTACATGTCTGTACTACGATTTGACCGTCTGCATTGACAAGGTCTAAATTTACCTGAATAAATAGGTTGTGGCTTGCTAAAATCTTTTTCAGAAAACTCCGATCCATAAGAAGTCGAATTCTCCATTTTCATCTGAAATATTACAGTGTCAAAGTGGGCCTGGGCACACTGCACATACAATTTTATTTCCAGTTCTACGTATTTGTGATTATTAAGGTAAAGTCATAAATCTAGAAAACGGTCTCATTCATTACATCTGTGAGATTATAAGGTGCGGTGGGTGGTCGTATGAGTGTGGCTGACGACATCCCGGGGCCATGCTTAAAAGCCGCTTGGTATGTTGTGCCTTTCTTCATTCTTTCTGGAGAAAGTTTTGGTAACCACATGACTTTGGTGCAAAATGTTCTATGGCCTGCTTATGATATTGAAATGAAACATGAACATCACACGAGTTTTTCTTTGGGTGATTGGCATCATAGTGATGCAGGAAGTTGCAATGAAAACTTACTCCCTTTGATGCTCGAGACATAATCATGATTTGGCTGATATATTCCCCGGAACAATATAGATATAAAAAAAAATTTTAACGATTTAAATAGATAAAACGAGAGTGTCAAAACAGCGAATAGTTTCAAGCAGATGATGGCGTTAGACGAAATATTTGAGCATAATATCAAAATATCGGCAGCCGTCCTGAGGAGGATTGCACGTCAAAAAGTTTAGCAAACTCTAGCGACAGTGCATGCAACCTCTTTTGATGGCCAGAAACTATTTAAATTATTTATGAGCTTAATGACCAGTGTGCTGCCGTGTCATGTGCTTCATTTGAGGTAATTATTTAAACAATTGATGCATAGAATCTTGTAGAAGGGCAGCGTCTATCTGCAATCTGCATTGAATAAAAGTCATTTTAAAATTGCGGTAAAAATTTGAACAAAGCCTCCACGATCGTGGCTACACAACTTAAGCATGAGTTCTAATGAATGAAAGGTCACTTCAAATGAAACATATAAAGTATCAACGTACTGAAGAGTAACGCAGTTAAACTCACATCAAGCTGCTCCTTCATCAAACTCATCGGAAGAAACTTTATGAAACTGCGAATCAATCTACACTACAAATTTAATTAGTAGTTGTGTAACTTAAAAGTCACAAAGTCGCTGATCCTCGCTCAAACGTTTGCTTTTACCCTACTTCACGCTCCAGCTAGAGTTTAAGCGTTCATTAGACGCTTTTGATAAAGATCGAGAGGTATCTAACTTATAAGCAAGCTTGTTAATTGACGTAACAGCGATCGACTAAACGATCTTCGGACTGCTAGATCGTAATTTCGAAACAATTTCACGCAAACTCGACCCACCATTACCTACTTTTAATTCTATAGCTTTTTGTCGTCAACGGACGCTGGGAGGGGTGAAATGCTAACGGGTAATTAGCATTTTCAATGATCATCTCTCAAACAAAATTGAAGTAACGATAAGAAAACTTTAAACGAGTGAATATTATTCATGAAACATTTTAAACTTTATATACAGCAAAGTTAAGAATAGTATACTTGCTTCCAATAAGAATACAACTATCTTAAATATAGTCGTAACCCGTTTTCATTTTCCTCTGCAAGTTATAGCTTCACAAGTCTAAAACGATTTTCTCAAATTACAAGAAAGTACTTGAAATCGTTCAATACTGTTTAATTTAGCGAACAATGTATTTTGTACTTCAGATTATTCAGTAGTCAATACTTCGATAGATCGAAAACCGATCATTGTTGAGCTGATTAATACAGACGATTGGGAGCGCTCAGAAACCGTTTATTTGCTAGTTTGCTGTTTAATCCAAACTGTTGGTGATATTTCTGCTCTTGCATGGACCATTTTTAGCCACGATCTATTTTCCAACTTAAGAGATAAAGCAGCTTGTCCCCCATTTAAGATTGCCTCTGTCAACGTCCAGCCGGAGAGTTAGCAAACCCACTGAATTTCTGCTCCAAGCTCACAGAACTGTAGCTGTGTTATTTTGAGCTTCGGACTGTAAGTCTGAGTAGACGGCATCATCGTTATTTATATTCATGTTCTTGTAAACATCGAAAAGATGATCTGGTAGGTTCCAGTTTTTCGTGTCATGGATTTGAGTGGAAGCACCAATACATATCACAGCGATCACAAGCATGATGATCACTGATACCATGGGGGACGCAGCGAAGAACAAGAGAGCTGAAGCCAGGACGACACCAACTGAACAGGATCCGAGCCCCAGGCCAAACATGAGAGTTCTTATGGTGGTCGGGGACAGTTCAGCGGTCCACAAAGCCAGGATCATCTTGGCAGCGGTGATGCTCATCTTCGCTCCGATCAAAATGGCGCCTCTCCGAATATCCCAATCCTTGACCACTTCGTACTGCACCAGAGAAACAGCAGAGCACACGGCGAATATGACCAGATTCAAGATGTAAGAAAACTTCCTGCCGAGTAACGAGGTCAGCACTGCGACTCCAATAATTGCTGCTGGTACTTCTGCCCCGAGCGCCACGATAAAATTCGTCTTCCTCAACAATGCGTAAGGGATTTTCCCCTCGTCAGGGTTACCGTATTCCCCATAAGTATCGATTGTGAGGAAGATGTGGTAGTAAGCCATGCCGACGAGAACCCAGTTTAGACAGAGCAGACAGCCCACTCTCTGGTACTTGGGCTTGAAGAAAGACATGACCTTTTCTCGAGCTTTGATGACCGGTATGGCAGGCTGGACTTCTGGGTACTGTTTTCCGTTCAGGATGGCAATTCGTTTCAGAACCATTGTTGCGACATCATCTTGCCCTTTTGCTAGCAGCCTGAATTTGGTGTTCATGAACAATTATGCTTGTTATGTCATCTGCTGAAGTCACTTATTTCGCAATTTTAAATAGAAATTGATGAGTTAATGGAGGAACAGAAAACAATAACTTACCAGTAAGGAGATTCTGGAACTGCTGCGTAAACAAAGATGAACACCAGAGAAACCATCCCAACACACACCATTTTATATCTCCAGTAGTCCCACCTATAAGATACAAACTTTAGATTTTAAAGACTGGAACTTGAATAATGGGTAAAATCTCAATGTATTGATATTTGATGCACATATTATATCAACTAGCTACCTCGCAAAATCTGAAGAATTGCTTTATCAATTGGTCACTAAAAGTTGTGTAAAAAATAAAATGTCACTAACGTCTCATTGATGTAGAAAACGATCAAAAGCCCAGCAGCCCCGAATATTCCTTGTATGGCGATAGCTAGGGGTCTCCATTTTCGGGAGACCAACTCCACAATCCAACAGAAGTAAAGCAGTTCGTAACCAGCTATACTTGCTCCTGTTAGACTTATTTATTAGTCGAAATACTCATGAACTGAGTTTTAAAATTAAGTGGTAAATGACAATCTGACAATCAATATACAACCGTCCAATTGCACTGCTAATTGGAAGTAACGACGCTTAAAATTTAAACCTGTCATTAACTGCACTCTCACCTAGCAGGACACGAAGAATGACGAACAAGATATACTCCTGAGCAGCAGCACTTATAACAGAGGCCACCATGGAGGTGAGCAGAGCGGAGAGGAAGGGTGTCTTCCGTCCTGTCGACCATCCCATCATCCCGAATATGAAGCCCCCAATAATAACGCCAGGACAGAAGTATAGTACGTGAGTGACGATTGTGTGGCTGCCGCATGCCTGGGGAGAAATGTTATTAACACTCATCTGACTGGTGTGTTCCTTGTTTTGGGTATAGAATAAAGTACAGTAGCTGTACAGTAGCAGTATTATTAGGAAATTAAGGAGAATAATATAGATCCTACTAATTCAGTAATACCACTACTCTAGTCTCTATTCAGTTACCATCATGGTTACCATTACAGTTTACAGAATATAAATTACCTGATTATAATCAGAGAGAGCAGTGTGGTTCCTGTTCAGCCACTCGAAATCACTCGAGCTCAAGTTAGATCTGCAGAGAGTCGTCAGATCGTAGTGAACCACACTAGACTCAGACTCGTTGTCACATGTGACCCCCGTCGCCGGCTCAGTCTTCTCCATGCACGTGCAGGATATACACCTCCAGGGTGCTGAAGATTCCACGAAGGTCATGGAGAGGTTCTGCACGGAGACGTAGAGTGCACCGCCTAGTCCCAGACAGAGAATCAGGAATATCTGGAAACGGTTGAGGCATTAGTTACTGCAGCATTGGTGACTACATTATTAGTGACTGCAGCATTAGTGACTAAAGTGATCTTTAGCTTTATAGTTTTATAACTATTTAAGGTCTCGACACATTATTAGGTCTAGAATCTAGAATCTGGATAATATATACCATGTAATATGGTAAGTGATTTTAAATTTATGATTTAAAATTTGTGATTTTAAATGTGCAAAAGGTTCTCAGATACATATATTTCGAAGGTCGAGAGTCTGAAAGTGCATTGTTTGTTACCATGGTAGGGTCTTCAGTATAAATCTAGTAAGACTCCATGGAATGTAAGCAGTCAGATACTTTATGTTAAAAAAATGGCAATTCAATTTCCAATTCCCATAGAATTTTTATTTATTTCAAGTTAAACAGACCCAGATATTAAAATTTCAGTGTATCAACCACGAAATTAAATTTTTTTAAATTAAAATTTAAAAAAAAACAAAAAAAACCACGAAATGAAGTTTAGGTAAACGTGGTAACCTGGTAAATAACATGGCAACCGCGTAACTAACCTGGTAACGAGCGAAGCCTCCAGACCTGCTCAAAATCTCGTCGATCTTAAGAATCTGTCTGTCGTGAGGGTTTGACTTCTTTCGGCTACCCTTGCTTTTTTCCTGAAAAGATCAGTCTTTAGTATTGCAGACTCAATCATTAACACGTCGTGCGAATGTAAACAACAAATGTAAATTAACAACTAGAAAATTCTAAAAAACAACAAGAACATATTATCCGGAGTATTTGTAGGATTTCAAGGCTTTCAACTTGGCATGTGCTGACTTCGACAAAATGTCTTGCTCTACCTCTTATTTCAAGGTAAAACGATAACTGTCATACACAATTAACAGATAATAATAACCTAATTAAACAACAACAGTATAAAGTGAGCAAAACACACTTAAAATCTAACTTGTTCTCAGGTCAAATAACGTCCGATAAGGTAACAATAACAAACTCACTATTTCACTCTCCATCCTCTCCAACGTCTCCAGATCAGTCAGCTTAGTTCCAATGAGGTCCTCCGCTACACCCATCTCAGAAGCATGAACAGAGCAGTGAGCTTACTGATACTTCTAACTGAGCAGTGAGCTTACTGATACTTCTAACTGAGCAGTGAGCTTAGTGATACTTCTAACTGAGCAGTGAGCTTACTGATACTTCTAACTGAGCAGTGAGCTTACTGATACTTCTAACTGAGCAGTGAGCTTACTGATACTTCTAACTGAGCAGTGAGCTTACTGATACTTCTAACTGAGCAGTGAGCTTAGTGATACTTCTAACTGAGCAGTGAGCTTACTGATACTTCTAAATGAGCAGTGAGCTTACTGATACTTCTAACTGAGCAGTGAGCTTACTGATACTTCTAACTGAGCAGTGAGCTTACTGATACTTCTAACTGAGCAGTGAGCTTAGTGATACTTCTAACTGAGCAGTGAGCTTACTGATACTTCTAAATGAGCAGTGAGCTTACTGATACTTCTAACTGAGCAGTGAGCTTACTGATACTTCTAACTGAGCAGTGAGCTTACTGATACTTCTAACTGAGCAGTGAGCTTACTGATACTTCTAACTGAGCAGTGAGCTTACTGATACTTCTAACTGAGCAGTGAGCTTACTGATACTTCTAACTGAGCAGTGAGCTTACTGATACTTCTAAATGAGCAGTGAGCTTACTGATACTTCTAACTGAGCAGTGAGCTTACTGATACTTCTAAATGAGCAGTGAGCTTACTGATACTTCTAACTGAGCAGTGAGCTTACTGATACTTCTAAATGAGCAGTGAGCTTACTGATACTTCTAACTGAGCAGTGAGCTTACTGATACTTCTAAATGAGCAGTGAGCTTACTGATACTTCTAACTGAGCAGTGAGCTTACTGATACTTCTAACTGAGCAGTGAGCTTACTGATACTTCTAACTGAGCAGTGAGCTTAGTGATACTTCTAACTGAGCAGTGAGCTTACTGATACTTCTAACTGAGCAGTGAGCTTACTGATACTTCTAACTGAGCAGTGAGCTTACTGATACTTCTAACTGAGCAGTGAGCTTACTGATACTTCTAACTGAGCAGTGAGCTTACTGATACTTCTAACTGAGCAGTGAGCTTACTGATACTTCTAACTGAGCAGTGAGCTTACTGATACTTCTAACTGAGCAGTGAGCTTACTGATACTTCTAACTGAGCAGTGAGCTTACTGATACTTCTAACTGAGCAGTGAGCTTACTGATACTTCTAACTGAGCAGTGAGCTTACTGATACTTCTAAATGAGCAGTGAGCTTACTGATACTTCTAACTGAGCAGTGAGCTTACTGATACTTCTAAATGAGCAGTGAGCTTACTGATACTTCTAACTGAGCAGTGAGCTTACTGATACTTCTAAATGAGCAGTGAGCTTACTGATACTTCTAACTGAGCAGTGAGCTTACTGATACTTCTAACTGAGCAGTGAGCTTAGTGATACTTCTAACTGAGCAGTGAGCTTACTGATACTTCTAACTGAGCAGTGAGCTTACTGATACTTCTAACTGAGCAGTGAGCTTACTGATACTTCTAACTGAGCAGTGAGCTTACTGATACTTCTAACTGAGCAGTGAGCTTACTGATACTTCTAACTGAGCAGTGAGCTTACTGATACTTCTAACTGAGCAGTGAGCTTACTGATACTTCTAACTGAGCAGTGAGCTTACTGATACTTCTAAATGAGCAGTGAGCTTACTGATACTTCTAACTGAGCAGTGAGCTTACTGATACTTCTAAATGAGAGTAACTAACCGTCTTCTTTTACAAAAACGATCTAATGACTCTTGCTAAAGTTACAATTACAACGGTTAGATAAGATTCCAGATTACTGCATTTACGAATATAATCGTTAATGGTTAAGAGCTATAAACGAATAGAATCGTTAATAGTTAAGAGCTATAAACGAATAGAATCGCGAATAACTAAGAGCTATTAACGAATGAAATGACGAATTATCAAGAACGAATAAAATCCTGGCTAATTAAAAGCTGTGTAAGGTCTTAACTATTAGTGGCTTGACAGCGGTTCCAAAACCACAGTAATGCAAGGGAGAATTACCGTGCATTAGACGTTGGTGGACAGAAATAACACGCTGTTAATTGAGTCATATAAATAATTAGATAAAAATGTATACTGGTGCGGGGTATGAAATGTGGTGTTATTAATCAACGAAAGCGGCCCGGAACTAAGATGTGAAATACGTATATTTAATATTTCTCCTCATAGGCCCGGAAACGACACCTAAATTTAAAATAAGACACGTAATTGTTTTAACCGGAACGCGCGTTTACCGTTAAAACTTAAACGAGCACTTTATCGTTACAAGTAACAAAATGGCTCCCAATTCCGGATTATAGGCTTTGGGGTTTTATAATCCAGACAGATCGCTCAAATCCAGGCTCGTAATAATCGATGATTACAATGTCTTTGCAGACCAAGTAGACACTAGCAGAGGGCCTAAAGTATTATTCCGAGTCTGTTATAATCGGCTATCCTGATAGAAGTAGGTCCGTGAAGCTGGACCACACCTTGTTTACTAACGGTAATCAACCAAACTCATACCAGCAAATCGGCTTCCATCTCAATTATAAATCTTGCTAATTCACTCTAAGTCTCAGAGCCAATATATATTGAATATTATTATGACTGACCCCATAGCTAACCGCTATTTAGCTTTGATATTTAAGTCTCTTCCAGCCGATCATTTATCTGCTGTAGAGCAATGCAAGTAGAGACGGGGAGAGGGCAAACGAGGTGGCACAGTCACGAAATAAAAGTAGTAGAGCTAGGAGGAGTCGTTATGAGATAAAATGCCTGGTGAACTAAAGCCTGCTCTCAGACTAAATGATAAGTAGTAAGTGGTTAAGCTTAAGTAGTAGTTGAGATTATATACTTGCACAAAATAAAATCCTAATTACAAAATAGCAAAGAGAATACTTAGTTCGTTGTTCAATTTCTGGTGAATTTTATTTAAATCCCGTTTTGCGGCTGACTTCAAAGTCCAGTCGACGCTGGATCAGATTTCAAATGGGACGCACTTTATTTACCGACACAACACCCTCATCATTGTCCACGACGGTAAATCAAAAGCTGGGCGTGCTTTAAACTATAATTGTTGGATTTAGAAGCAGGAGTATATTGCAAGTTACAAATAACGATTCACGTTTACAAGGCCTCATCATACAAAACTGTGATTATATTTTCACAAAGATCCTCTTCTATCCCATAAATAATCAACGCCCATCCAAATCTCCTAGTTTGGCTGTTTAAGTGGCTGTTTAAGCCAGTAATTGCTCTGTATTATGATCAGTAAGTTAACAATCACGCAGATCTGGGCTGGCAAAGCTGCTAAAATTAGGCGATAAAGAAGAGCGATCTTGCCAGTTTCGTAAGAATTACGGGTAATAATAAAAGAGCTGGTATGTGATGAATAAAAGCGACCCCGATTCTCCCAGTTTTGTTATATAAGAACACCTGTACACATTTAAATCTCATTTAATTTGTGTATGTTTACAAAGAATGGCCTTACAAGTGGATGTAGGGGTAAAAGGAGGATAAGGGAGGAGGGAGCTTGCCTCTGGAGAGAGAGGGAGGGAGAGCGGCTGGGATGAGAGTGAGGGCTGGTTCTGGAGAGAAGGAGAGAGAGAGAGAGAGATAAAGAGAGCGGGTGGGATGAGAGTGAGGGCTGGTTCTGGAGAGAAGGAAAGAGAGAGAGCGGGTGGGATGAGAGAGAGCGGCTGGCATGTAAAGAGATGAACAATAGTAGGAGCAGATCCAGTCTCATAATTACACTGTCCCAACGCAGCAGAACAAAGACATTTGCAATACCTAAACATGAGTTTAGTGGAGCACCTATCTGTACATGCAAGGGAAGAAGTAAGGGAAGAAGTAAGGGAGAGCGAGCTGAAGTATAACGTACGAGGATTTATTAAAGAATATTTCTTACGGGGGGTCGAGATAGCATGACGGGAACAAGCATGTTTAGTTTTTTACTCAATTCTAACGTTGAACTGCTGTAGTAATTAAGAAATATGTTGCCTGAGCAGCGATTAGGTAATTGCAATTGCCACCAAACCAGGGCCGAGCATGAAATAAGGTAATATTTATATTACCTTATTTCATGCTCGGCCCTGGTTTAATTTATTATCTTATTTATAAATAAGATAATAAATTAAAATCACAGAATTACAAATAAATTACAATGAAAACTTAGTGGAACTAACAAAGGGGTTGACACTTTCTGATTGCTGTTTGTAACAATAGCAGCTTCACAACGAGCTCTTATTAATATTTGCAGCGGGCAGCCGCTTCATACATCACAGTCTTAAGCCTTCACGATAAGAGTTTCACCACTTTACGATAACAGATGGGGCGAGGAGCTGACGGTTAAAAATTGGCATTACCATAATCTCATCTTCATTTTTAAACTTATTGTTTGGCAAGATGCTAAAGAATCGGTAAAGGAAATCATGGACCAAGAAACCATTTGACTTTATTACCGAAGGAAGTTGGGAAAGCTGTGAACCCTGACGCGGAACAGGGCTATATTAGAGGGTGATCTGGCGAAGAATAGCCTTACTTCCGACCCAGACGTAGCACTGAAATCTTATGAAGAGAACGCACAACATCTCACGTTCGAGCAATGTTGGCAAGTGTCATCCGCTAAATAAATTGCCGCAATATAATACTAATAAAACAGCTAATATAAGCGACTAAATTACTATTACTCCACTGCAAGCTCAGTTAGCAATATATACATAATGCTAATATTTACTAATCTGATGGACGCTGCCCACAATGCCCAGTCAGTGATGACTGATGAGAACCGAAACTTCACAAATATAGCAGTCACACACGTTAATAGATAATACAATGATAGCTGGACAGGGCTATCAGGAACTAGTCGACTGATAACTTGATTATCGTCATTACCCCCTTACTATCTTACTTACTATCTACTACCAAGATAAGGGACTACAGCTGATTATTACTATAACACCAGGATGGATTTAGTAAAGTAATGAGGTACGCTAGTACGCGGAAGAAGGTACGCTTGTACGCTAGTACTCACCTACTGAGT